AATTTTTTTTTTGTATTGTGATTTAGTAAAGTAAGGCAAAACACGACTGCATTAGTTAAAAAATAATAATCTTTCAAATTGAATCATATGTGCAATCACTGACAGTCCACAACCGTCAGACCAATGTTGACTCTATCTTATATTATTTTAATTTTTGGCACATCTCAGGTGCTTTTTTGGCAATAATAATGTAGACATTACATTTTTTTTATTCATAATCATAAATATATTATATTTTAATATTGTCTTAGCCTATAAGTGAATGGAAATGTGTGGCAAATGACAGTCTTCATTTGTTTTTAATGCCAAACAATGCCTCAAATATTTTCAATGTCTAACAATGCTAAACGGTTTTTTGTAATTTTTTTCATTTACTTCTAAAATCTAACTATATTTCTATGAATCAAAAAATCTTAGAAAATTCCCTTAACAAACTTCAGAAAGATTTATCAAAATCCGAATAATCGTTTAGGCGGAGTATCCTTTTATACACCATTACAGAAGAGTTTTATATATAAGATATATATATATATATATATATATATATATACATATTTTTAATTTGCAAATTTTTTGTCAACAGGTCATCAAAACTAAAAATTTGGATGAAGCCACATTGCAAGCAGCCAAGGAAGAAAAAGAACGCAAGGCGAGGATCGAGGAGAGACAAAAATTGGTAAGCAAAATACTCAACTTCACTTTCATTTATTTTTTTTAAAGCCTTAATTTATAAAATCATATGATCATTTCTTCACCGGTTTATCCTACTTTATTGTTTTTGTAGTATTATTTTTATTATTCAGAATTTTTTTTGATTTAACTTATTAATTTTATTATTATTATTATTTGCTTTTATTTTATATTAAATCATCATACTACGGACATCATTTTAATGAAAATTCTTTCCTTTATTTTGTACTAGAGATGGGTAACTCACTCCGGAATTATCACTCCGATACAACTCCTCCCTCGGAGTGAATCCGAGTGGAGTTGTCTCGTCGGATTTCTCATATCCGAATTCCCTAAACTTGTACTAAATCTGTTACTGCGTTTTTGCTTTGGAAAGGAAGCTGTTGCTTTCTTGTCTCACATGCAGTTTTATGATCTTTTAGGTATACGGTTTTTTCCAGAAAATACAAAAGTATTACTTCAAAGATACAGAACAATGAAATTGTGTTCAAGTGTGAATAGTAAAGGGTCATATTTCTAACTACGACATATTTCTAATTTCTAGATCATATTTTCTAATGTATAAATAGTAAAGGATCATATTTTTAACTCCGACAATCTTTGGCCGCGAATGACGGCAATCAGGAATATACATACTGAAAAATACACTAAACAAAATACATTTAATCTGGTTTTTCCATAGCCTGAAAATAACAATACTTTAGAGTGCAAAATATATCAGTGACGTCAATAGTATTTAAGCAGCAAAAAATATATATAATTATATAAATAATATATAATTGTGAATGAAAAATTAGAAGGCAGAAGTATTATTATTTGGTGAAAATATTTTATGATAAATGTTTTGCTATATTTTGCAAAGTTTACTATATTATTTTTATATAAAATTTATCCAAAAATTCAATTATTTTCTCATCAAAAGGAAATAATTAAATTGAATTTGATTCTTAAGTTTTGCGTTTTTTCTTTGGTCAACACTGTTAAAATTACGAGTCATTGAGTCGATCATGTGATCGACCGAAAAGTTTTACAACTCGTCATTTATTTGTGATTTTTTTAGAAAAATTATTTTATTGTAATTTTTTAATTTTATTTTATTCATAAATTTTCATTTCAAAAAAATTAAATGGGATTTGACAAATCGTTAGATTCATGAACAACGCACTATAGAAGACATTTGTGTCAAGTATTTCGGTTTCAAAGTTGTCGGAGCCAAATCCGAGTCGATCCGGCTTTCGGCTATCTATTTTGTACTCTTTTTATTTAAATTTATGTTATTATTTATTATTGTTACTAGATGTTAAATTATTTAACAGTTGTAACAAATACAGTAATTAAAAAAAACAATTCTTTACTGGACCATTTTGTCTATTTTTCCCTAGTATAATTCCTTGTACGACGACAAACTGATGAAGGAAGCCAAAGTCGACAAGCTGGTCCTCGATTTCGATCCGGAGACTAAAAAAGAGTTAATAACAGTCCATAAGAAACTTGTGAAACATCTGAAACCTCATCAGGCTACTGGTGTTAAATTCATGTTTTGACGCCTGCTTTGAGAGCGTTAAACAGATCGACAAGGGCTACGGTTCGGGGTGCATTTTGGCCCATTGTATGGGCTTGGGAAAATCTTTACAGGTAATAAATGACATATGTGAATGTTAAATAGAATGTATAAATATGTATGTTTTTTTTAAAAAAGGTTGTGACCCTGGTGCATACTTTGTTAATGCACGAAGAGTTAACGAAAGTCCGGTGCGTCCTGGTGGTGTGTCCTTTGAGTACAGTACTCAATTGGGTTAATGAATTTACAATTTGGCTCAAGAATATAAACGATGGAGAGGATATTAATATCTATGAACTGTCCAAGTATGTATAACATTTATATATTTATATATATATATATATATATATATATATATATATATATATAATAAGAAAAAAGAAAAAAAATTGACATGCGGGCGCTATCTTATATATGATTTTTTTCTGTAATGGTGTATGAAAGAATAATCCTTCTAAACGATTATTTGGATTTTGCTAAATCTTCCTGAAGTTTATTAAGGGATTTCTTTAGGATTTTTTGAATCATAGAAATATAGTTAGATTGTAGAAATGAATGGCAAGAATTACAAAAAAACGCTTATCATTGATTGACATTGAAAATATTGGAGGCATTGCTTGGCATTAAAAACAAATGAAGACTGTCATTTTCCAAACATTTCAATTCACTTATAGGCTAAGACAATATTAAAATGTAATATATTCATGATTATAAATAAGAAAAATGTAATGTCTACATTATTATTGCCCAAAACCAGCTAAAATGTGCCAAAAATTTGTCGCGTTTTGGGTCTGAATATTTTTACTGTGCTCCAATTTGTATGAATTTTTGGAAATAGGTTCATCTTACTCTCAAGTTCAAAAGTGAAAATAATTCAGACTCCTTTGACATTCTACATTTCAATAATCAAGCAAAAGTCATTATTAAATATTATTACTTAGGTATATAATTCAAATAGCAAATTCATAATATTTTAACAATATGATTTTCTGAAACTTTTAAGCTTATAAAGAACTTCACAATATTACACATAATTACAAAGTGCATTACAATTTACTCGCCATAGTTTGTATTAATTCACAAAGAAATTCACAAAATTTAATATGATTTCATCAGTTCGAGTGTAACATGGGTTAAATAATAATTAGTGATACTATTGATAGCAGCTTATTTTATAAGCCACTTTTTCATTATTAGAATATTAATGCCATAAGCTATACATGACATAGTGCACTCAGATGCACTTGATATAATGAATTTTCAGATATAGGAAATGAAATTAGAATATTTGCTAAATGTGGAAACTTTTAGTCAATTGAATTTATACTTTGACTACTGAAAATTAGTTTCTTTTTGGCGCTTTTCATTTTTTTTTTGCAAATATCTCCAAAAATATACATTTTAACGAAAATCATGCCATGAACAAAATTATAACAATTAAAATCTTAATAAGTCGGTGTTTTATAATGTGTCCTAAGAACAATATTGAAAGATAAGAAAAAGCAAAGTCGTTTTTTATTTCCTTCAAAATTTAATTTTTGTATTTGAAGCCATTTAAGAGCGAAGTGATACACTTTATATTGCTCAAAATTAGCTTTAAAATGAGTACTCTTAAGGATCTCTTGCGTATGATATGTGTGAGCAAATAAAAGGCGCATACAATGTTTTTTTAATTTAAATCAAAATTAAAATTAATTGTTTTCCATCTAAAGTTAACTTGGCTCAAGAGATTCCAAAATATCATTCAAATGAGTAATAATGTATATCAAATTATTATTAAAAAATGTAATTTGTATTTTATTATTACTGAAAACAATTAGCATTATTGCAACATTATTGAAGCAATTATTTTGAGTGAAAAAATCATTGAAAGGTGATATTGTACCTTTACCGCGAATGCTATATATTAATTCTTTCTGAATTTGTTATACTGTTTAAAATACTGCAATTTCCAATACGTATATCTTATGCTATAAATCACAAAGGCAGACAATAAATTTGTGTGTGATAAATTTGGAAAATCGATGTTTAAGTCGTGAATAAACAAAAAACATTTATTTATACATCTACATCTACAGGTATGACTAAAAATATTGGATAACCTTTGGCATTAAAATAAATTGAGCTATTGGAAATAAATTTGTTCAATCATTTTATTTAAAGCAATTGTACATTTAAGATCACCCGTATGGATGTATGTACATTTCGGTATAGACTGTAGTCTAAAAAACATAATAATTTTTAACTAATTGGTAAATCAGTATCAGTTATTGAAAAAAAATGGAACTTTTGAATTGTAGTCATGGGTACAGGACAAAGTCTGTTGGGTCATCTAGTATACATATTTATATTTATATTGTTGGTTGATTTTTATAGGTTTAAGAAGAACAATGAGAGAGCCTTTCAATTATCCGATTGGCAAAAATGTGGTGGAGTCATGATCATGGGTTACGACATGTTTAGGAATCTAACGAACGATAAAGGAGCACGTTTAAGAAAAAAGATGAAGGAGTCTCTTCAAAGGAGTCTTGTTGACCCCCAGGTAAATAGATTAGAAATATATTGGTATAATTAAAACCTAAATATTTATTTATTTATTTATTTATTCAACGCCCAATGCATTAATATAATATAATTACATTTTAAAGTGTACAAATTATAAACTAAAGATAATGTTTGAAAACTTGAGTATTAAGAGTTTATAGATAGCTTTGTATATCTTTGACAATATTATTAAATTTAAGTGTTTTTAAACTATTTTATCATATTTTTTTTATTTAGGGCCAGATTTGGTGGTTTGCGACGAAGGTCATTTGTTGAAGAATGAAAAAACAAGTTTAAGTCAGGCTATGACAAAGATTAAAACCGGGAAAAGGATTGTTTTGACGGGAACGCCTGTGCAGAACAACTTGAAAGAATGTAAGTTGAAATTTAAGTATATTAAATAAAAATTCTATCCATATTTTCCATGAATATGGAAAACGGTATATTTTTATTTAATTTTATGTGGGTATAAAATTTATTTATGTCTTATGACTCATTAAGGGGCACAACTAGTGTGAAATTTTAAAAAACTCGAATTTTCAATTTTTCCATATTTCGATAGGTTATACCTTTAAAAACAACATACCAAAATTTTAAATCAATATCTTAAATAGTTTTTGAGTTACAGCCTTTGAAAGAGTACATATATAGTATATAGTATAAGGATTATTTTATCTTTAAACGCGTTTTTCTCGAAACAGCATTTTTCGAATTTACTGCAGCGATTACTCATTTTTTACATGTTCTATATATAGTTCTCCGTAAAATGAACTATCCGATTTTTAATTGGATCCAAAAATCGAATTTTGGCAGTCCAAAAACGACCAAAATTTTGGGTAAAATTCGACTGTTTTTTTAAACACCGCCAAAGTGAAAAATTGATACTAATATAAAATTAAAACGTCATATGGTCGGTTTGCATATAGAATTAATAGAGTTGTTTTTTTTATTTAAATTCAATTGATTTAGTTGTTTGTTGTCTATTTTTGTATTATAGTATTCAGTATGTTTAGTATTTTGATAATTATCAATATGTAAAGTTAGGATATTTCTAAAACAACAAACTGTTCGTTCCGAACATTCTATTTGTATACTTTAGTATAAACTAAATTACATTTTGAAAGTTAGTAAAAATTGTTGTATACACCTATATAATGAATTTAAATATCTTGTAGAAACGTTTTTCCGGTAATACACAAGTGAATTTTGGACGTTTTCTAACATTTCTTTCAATATTTCGGAAATTTTTCTCCGGTTGCTATGTTTTATATATATATATCAGTAAAAATAGATAAATTTTAATAAATCATGGTATAAACTATTATTTACACTTGCATATTAAAATTTTGAATAATTCGTAGTTGAAATGCAGACTTAGTATTTCCATAACTTGCAATATATGGATTTAGGACATTTTTTTACTTTCTTTCGAATAACTTTTAATTTTCTCTCTGGACATTATAATATGTTTACATTAGCAAAAACTAGATAAAATTTACTAAAACCTAGTAAAAACCGTTTTATACACTTTGATATTGAAATTTTGAATAATTCGTAGTTGAAATGCTGACTTTAGTATTTCGATAACTTGCAATATATGATTCTAGGACTTTTTTTACTTTTCTTCAAACAACTTTTAATTTTCATTCCGGACATTATGATGTGTTTACGTTAGTAAAAACTAGATAAAATTTACTAAAATGTAATAAAAACTATTGTCTACACTTGGATATTGAAGTTTTGTATAATTCATAGTTGAAAAGCAAACTTTAGTGCCTTGAATACTTGCAATAAATGTCTCTTAATAAGATTTACTCTTAATAATTTGTAAAAGATACATTTTGTAAAAGATAAAAAAATCCAATTTTTAAATCTGAAAAAAAATAAGCACGATATCGGAAGTGAATGTATGAAAAAAATTATGATGATAAAATAAGAAATCCTAAATTTGAAAGGTTAAAAGATAATTTTGGTAACGAAAATGGAACTGTTTAAAGAAAGGGTTATCAAATATTATTTAACGAAATTGGCATACATTCTTCTTAGTATAATTATCAAAGAAACTTCAATTTTTAACTTTAATTTAACATCATAATTTGATGTTGTAGAATGTGATGATCACTTACTTTTTCAATTAGTAAATTTAATTAACAGGTAAATTCAAAAGTTGTAGAATATTTTATAAGAATTCAGAAAAGAAAAAACGATTGAGCAACTATTCAAACTATTTCGTATTTTCATAAAGAAACCATATAAAGTATTATACATCGACAGAAAGGTCTCAAAATTCTTAGTTTTTCTTCCAAACATCGCAACTTCGTATTTTACACGGTTTGGCCTATAGGCGACATGCTAATTACAATGACAAACCGATCATGTCATATTTGAAGTATGACTTTAATTACATTATTGTTTTTAAATAGTATACATTTTTTTAATGCTATTATAAATATATAATTTAAGTGTATAATTCAAGAAAATTTTGTGAACACAACTAACAAATTATGTATCGTTTTCTTTCATTTCAGATTATTGCATGGTTCAATTTGTCAAACCAAATTTACTCGGCAAATATAATGAATACATGAACAGGTTTGTTAATCCCATCACGAATGGACAATATACCGATTCGACGCCAAGGGACATCGAAATTATGAAACGAAGGTCTCATGTTTTGCATAAAATGCTTGATGGCTGTGTACAGGTAAGATAAGAAAAAATTCAATACAAATTTATCTAAATTTATACTTATTATTTTATTACAGAGACGTGACTACAGCGTATTGGCCCCATTCTTGCCACCAAAACACGAATACGTACTATTTATAAATTTAACAGAACTGCAGATCAAGTTGTATCAATTTTATCTGGATAACTTTGCAAGGTAATAAATTAAAAACTATTTGACTTTGAAATTTTTGAATATTTATTTGACCTTTGCATTTATTTTGTAGGCGTCCAGCAGCAGATAGAAAGAACAGCTCGTTTTTGTTCCCTGATTTCCAAAATTTCCAAAGAATTTGGACGCATCCTCGAGTTATGAAGGCCAACAGCGAGAGATACGAACGGGATCAGGCGAAAAAGGTAAATTATAATAAATATATATATATATATATATATATATATATATACTAGCTGACCCGGCAAACGTTGTTTTGCTAAGTAAGGTATATTCTAAACATTTCCTAGAGAATCAAAAATATTATTACTTTAAGTGTATAAGGATGTGTAGTTTGAATGCTATATACAATGATGTATTATAAAAACAATAAACCCCGTTAGTTTGTCTATATTTTGTCAGTACAATCAAACTGGAAGTTTTATACACTTTCAATAGAAAACATGGTATTATCCAATCTGAATCTTTTTTGGTCTTTCGAATTATTATTTACGTTTCAAGAACAATAGCAAACAGGTTTAATGTCCTATTTTAATTTTAAAGGTATTTTACAAAATAATTACATTTTTAACTAATGCTAAAAAACTACCAACGGAAGAAAATACTTTTATTATGGATTTTCAAAGATAATCATTTATCTCCCGATAGCACAGTCATGAGAATCAAGGTTATAGCTGGTTATACATCTTTTCCCCTCTACTTTCAAATATTGTTGTTAAACAATGCTCAACTTTACAGATTTTTAACCCCGGGCCTTCATATATTACTATCTATTCTTCGATAAATTCTGGGAGATTATAACTGGGAAAATGTTATTCGACAAAATGTCCCTTTGATCGATACCAAATTTAGATTCTGAATTTAAATAACATAAATAAAAAATAATATAACCTAGAAAATGTCTTATAAATACCAATGAGTATATAATTATACAAATGAGATCTTTCAGAGCACCGTGTTTGAAAAAAATATGCCAAAAAGTGCATTTTCATATTTCAAAAAAGTTGTTATTATGAGTTTCTAGTAACACTTCCGGACCGTCTACTAACGTTTTTGTATATAAATAAAACTTCAAACAAAACTACTTACTACAATTGAATCATAATTAACTAATATTCACGTAAAGCATCCTATTGAACGCAATTGAACATCATCTGTCAAAAACGTGTGACATTTGACGTATTAGCCACCGTCCATTACGCTTCTACAAAAATGTTCAAATTAAAAATGTAAAGTTTCTACGCGATTTTAAAATGATATCTCACCTTTCCGACAACCTACTGATTAGCACGAATTTTTCAAGACTAAGATTGGCCAAATCGGTTTAGCCGTTTTCGAGTTTTAGCGGATAATTTTATCGAAAGCTCCATTTTTATATATAAGAAGATATAATATATATAATTGGTCTTTTACTATTTTTAGGCTGAAAGAGACACGGATTCCGAAGGATCTTTAGTAGATTTCATAGACGATTCAGGCAGCAACGAATCATCTTCGGAGGAAGAATCCATGTCCATGAGCGGTTCGTCCGATGAATCTAACAAAAAGGGCTCTTCCAGAAAGAACGCCGATAATAATGCAAGAAACACCAGAGCCAGCAGGAGAAACCAAGGTATATATATATATATATATATATATATATATATTAATTATATATCAGTTTTTAAAATTTTTGAAATATTAACCTTATATTGTTTTGATTTTTTATTATCTAGGTCTTCCTGCACCGCCGCAAGAAGAGGAGGAAAATGAGACTGAAGAAAAAAGAGAAAATCCTACCGAATGGTGGATGCCACTTTGTCCCGAAGAGGAATTAGACTATTTGAAGCACAGTGGAAAATTGATGCTGCTTTTTGATATTTTGAAGGAATGCGAGACCATCGGCGATAAAATGTAAGTAATAAATACACAATAATAGTAATCTTCTTATATATAAAAATGGAGCTCTCGATAAAATGATCCTCTAAAACTCGAAAACGGCTTAACCGATTTGGCCAGTCTTAGTCTTGAAAAATTCGTGCTAATCAGTAGGCTGTCGGAAAGGTGAGATATTATTTCAAAATCGCGTAGAAACTTTACATTTTTAATTTAAACATTTTTGTAGAAGCGTAATTTGAATAAAACAATGGACGGTGGCTAATACGTCAAATGTCAAACGTTTTTTCAATTACGATTAATAGGATGATTTACGTGAATATTATTTAATTATGATTAAATTGTAGCAAGTAGTTTTGTTCGTAATTATATTTATACACAAAAACGTTATTAAACGGATCGCAAGTGTAACTAGAAACTCAAAATATCAACTTTTTTGAAATGTTAATATAAAAATGCACTTTTTGGCATATTTTTCTCAAACACGATGCTCTGAACGATCTCATTTGTATAATAATATACTCATTGGTATTTATAAAACATTTTCCAGGTTATATTATTTTTTATTTCTGTTATTTAAATTCAGAACCTAAATTTGGTATCAATCAAAGGGACTATCAATAGATAGTAATATATGAAGGTCCGGGGTTAAAAAGGTCCACCAGCGATGTCCCAAAAACCAGTAAAGTTAAGCATTGTTTAACAAAGATATTTGAAAGTAAAAGGAAAAAGATGTATAAGCAGCTATAACCTTGATTATTATGACTTTGCTATCGGAAGATAAACGGTAAATCTTTGAAAATCCATAATAAAAGTATTTTCTTCCGTTGGTAATTTTTTAGCATTAGTTAAAAATGAAATTATTTTGTAAAATACCTTTAAAATAAAAATAAGATATTAAACCTGTTTGCCACCTGCCCGTTACAAGTTACCCCGCCTATAGGGTAAAAAGGTTTAGATAACAAATTTTTGAAAGTCGGCAAAAAAGCACATTTCTACAATGATGAAGTAGCTGTCAGTTTTACTGAACGTAGTCAGATAATTGTTCGTTTGAAATGTGTTATTTGTTGTGATATAATTGGTTTGATTTTTAATTAATATTCGCTCAAAGTCAAATTGGACCTTTGTGTCCCATATATACTTTTTATTAAATTTACTTAAATTCATCGAATGTTACTTGAAACTTTTCAAAAAGCAGGTCAAAGAAGAGATATACTTAATTCATTTTTTATCTCTCCTCGCAGAAATTTGAAAATTTTGAATAAGCTCAGTAGTATTATTTAGAATGATACACAAAATGCAGAATCCGAAAAGAATCTGAAAAACTTGAAACGTAATCAATAAGTGGAAAGACCAAGAAAGACTTGGATTGGATTATACCATGTTTTCTATAGAAAGTGTATAAAACTTCCAGTTGACAAAATATAGACAAACTGATGGGGTTTATTGATTTTATAATCATTGCTCATTGTATATAGCATTTAAACAACACATCCTTATACACTTAAAGTATTAATATTTTTTATCTTCTAGAAATTGTTTAGAATATAACTTACTTAGCAAAACAACGTTTGTCGGGTCAGCTAGTAATGTATAAATATATAATAAATATTTTTCCCCAGATTGGTATTCTCTCAATCCCTCTACTCCTTGGACGTCATCGAACATTTCTTATCCCAAATCGACGAACGGACGCAGAATCAGAGCGACAATGAATCCGATGATGATGATGATGATGAAGAAGCCGATGAAGAAAAAAAGCTGCAGAAAAAGCTGGAAAAGCAGAAGGAAAAAAGGTTGAAAGATCCTCTTCTTGGACATCGAGGATCCTGGTCACCTGGATTGGATTACTTTAGATTGGACGGTTCTACGTCCTGCGAAAACCGGGCTGCCTGGTGCAAGAGTTTTAACAGGGCGGATAACATCAGAGCGAGGTAAAAGATAAATATAAATTATATATATATACTCGTATATATATATATATATATATATACATATATATATACATATATATATATATATATATATATATATATATATATATATATATATATATATACAATTATCTTTCTTTCAGACTGTTTCTAATTTCCACAAGAGCAGGAGGCCTAGGTATCAATTTAGTAGCAGCTAATCGAGTAATCATCTTTGATGTGTCTTGGAATCCTTCACACGATGTCCAAAGTATCTTCAGAGTGTACAGATTTGGACAGAAGAAGCCTTGTTATATATACAGATTTATAGCACGGGTAAATAAATATTAGTAATCGACTTTTTTATGATAATATATATATATATATATATATATATATATATATATTGTAAACTTGTTGTTAATTGATTTTAGGGTACGATGGAAGAAAAAGTGTATGAACGACAGGTGACCAAGCAGGCTATATCCAAGAGAGTTATAGATGAACAACAAATTGATAGGCATTACAATTCTAATGATCTCAACGAATTATACAAGTAAGAGGAATATATATATATATATATATATATATATATATATGTATTTAAAGTTTTTTTATAATAATTTTCATGATGAGATGTGTGAGTTAAAATCTTAAACTTGTACCAAGAATTCATGTGGTCTCTAAATTCCCAATCCTATTACCCAACCAGTATGAAAATAAGTTCAATTATCAATTTAGTAGACAAAAAGTTTTGGCCTTCAAATATTTCCCTAACAAATAATTTTTTTCTTCTCACATCTCATTATTAGTCCAGTCATTTAAGCTTAAATTAGATAAGAATTTCGAAATTCGAGATACCCAGCTGCAAGTCTGTAAATACTTGTATATTGACACCCTAAAAGTTGTCTCAAAACCTACATATATTGCGTACACTCTACCATATGTAGGGTTTTGAGACAACTTTTAGGGTGTCAATATACAAGTATTTACAGACATATAAATAATACTTCCAGGATCACAGTCAAATATAATGATACAATTGCCCCTAGTTTTCAAGAAATAAGAAATTTTATTGTACTATGAATTTAAAACTTTTGAGAGCCTTCTCCTTACAAAATATTTGCTTAATTATATTGGCAAATTTTATCAAACATTAGCGTATTTAATTGGTATTGTGAAGTGGTAAAATACTTAATAATTTTATAATAAAAAAAACAAGGAAAAATAAAAACCGAAAAAAGACTTACAGCTGGGTATCTCGAATTCCGAGGTGAACTTACTGTAATGCCTGGACTATAAATATTTTATTAACAAATGACTCATCCTTTCAACACTCCTGAGAAAAAAGAAAGAAAGCATTTTTATGGATACCATTCATCCTTTTTATATTAAAATCTTCACCCTTTTTGATCAAGCAGAGTTGCTTTTGGTCTGTAAAATTGAACAAACCCTTTGCACTTAATTTAAGTGTAGATTCTACATCCAATATTGTTTATAAAATTGTCTGTAAAGATAGTGAAGCTGTTTATGTGGGTTACAGAAGACACAATTTAGTAAAACGCTTTAGGCAACATTACAATAACTGGAATTACAACTGGAATTGAATAGTTCCAGTTTCACAAAAACAGCATCAACAAAAGGTGTGATACCTCTTCACTTTGTGAAAACTATCAAGTAATTTTTAAACAATTTTTGTGAATTCGTTTTTGCAACATAACCGTTTTTTTCTCATCTAAGGGGGCGTCCATTAATCACGTAGGGCTTTTAAGGGGAGGGGAAGTTTGACAAAAAATCACGAAAATTCACACGAGAGTGGGTAGGGTCTAGTAAGATATCACGTGTATTTATTGAATTAAAACTTCTTTTGGCGCGACTAGAGTGTAAATCCGTACAATTGTGACGGAAGTGCGTTACGGCAGATAAGATTAGATTATTGTCGAGATAAATAAACATTTCAAAGTTACATCGTAGTACAAATCTTGATTTAACGAAAAATGACTGAATCAGAAGAATATTTTACCTTGTTCCTTGAAAATAGTAAAACAAATTAGACATTTGTACCGTGTACTAAACGTACGTTTCTTGAGTAGAATTAATTTCTATATTATTCGTAGTTTCTATAAATCTTTGAAGTTATTAAAATGGCAAATATTTTTTAAGCAAGACAGATATTACAAAGAATGAGATTATATCGCCAGCAAAAAAGTAAAAAAAAATACAAGCGGTCAATGAATGTATGTTAATTTTAAATACATGAAGTTCTTCAAACACAATTATTACATGATGAGTGAAGTTGCGAAAACAATATTTCTTTAGGCGTTGTTTAACGAATATTATAGAATTTATTAATCAGCAATTACTTCATTTCTCTGTCATTACAATGACAAACCGATCATGTCATCTAAGCCCATTTCGTGGCAATAACAAAGCTTTAACACTATGTTCCCCCGAATCGGGTTAGAGTATAACTCATCTCTCAGGGCAGTACTGCCCATTATTATATATCATATATCTACAACTTCTTTTTTCAGATTTGAGCCAATCCCGGCAGAGCCTCGACCGACTCCAAAGTTGCCAAAAGATCGACTCTTCGCCGAACTCTTGCACGGACATGACAAATTAATTTATCATTTCCACGAACATGATTCCTTATTAGAAAACAAGGAAGAGGAGACTCTTGATGAAGAGGAAAGAAAAGCAGCCTGGGAGGAGTTCGAGAACGAAAAGAAGGCTCCGCCGCCGCAGATGTATCAGCACCAACAATATGGTCGAGGTAGGGAATAAATAGACAAAAGTAGTAATAGTTGGTTCAAAATATATTTTTCTTTCACATTATATTTATATATATATATATATATATATATATATATATTAAATGGTAGAGTCTTGGATTTGTGTATATTTTGTAGAGTTTCGAACAAGAATCTAAAAGTAATAAAAAACAAGAGAAGTTTATTGAAAAACAATTTCTTTATTTATTTATTTACTGTCGACGTTTCGGAACCAGGTACGTTCCATCTTCAGGACGTCTGTCAAGAAACATGATCTTGATGAGATTTAAGCAAACAATATGTTTAGGAATAGAAAATAGATTTTTCTTAAATAATAAATTAATTGTAACAAGTAATAATGTACAGAAATATGATAATATGATCAAAAAGAAAATGATAAAAATAAATGAGTGGATTATCAGAACAGGATATTAAAAATGATAGAAATTTTTTGAAAGTTATGGAAATTTTTTTTTTTTTAAGAAAGGCTTAATGATAAAATTAAATTAATTACCTGTATGTTTGAATATACGTTAGCACTTTTTCACTAAACAAGAATTTTTGACAAAAAATGAATTTGTGAGTTATTTTTTCGCCGAATAGTTAACTTTTGTAAATCAAAATTACTAAAAGTGTTGTCTTTTTTTAAAATTATTATTTGAAAACAAATAATATTGTATTCGATGTTATACTATTGGCTTTTGGAAACGAACTAAATTGTATTTGCTGGTTCATATGTAACACGTGTAAACACTTGAAACGAGGACTGTGAGATTGTATGTGTGGGTTTTTATATTAAAAAAGACAAAACTTTTAGTAATTTTGATTTACAAAATCTAATTATTCGGCGAAAAATAACTCACAATTTCATTTTTTGTTAAAAATCTTGTTTAGTGAAAAAGTGCTAACATATATTCAAACATACAGGTAATTAATTCAATTTTGTCATTAACCTTTTCTTAAAATTTTCCATAACTTTCAAAAAAATTCTATCATTTTTAATATCCTGTTAGATAATCCACTCTTTTATTTTTATCATTTTCATTTTGATCATATTATCATATTTCTGTACATTATTATTTTTTCAACTAATTTATTAATTAAGAAAATCCATTTTCTTTTCTTCAACATATTGTTTGCTGAAATCTCATCAAGATCATGTTTCTTGACAGATGTCCTGAAGATGGAACGAACCTAGTTCCGAAACGTCGACAGTAAATAAATAATTAAATAAAGAAACTGTTTATTAAAAACTTTTCTTGTTTTTTTATTACTTTTGGATTCTTGTTCGAAACTCTACAAAATATACACAAATCCAAGATTCTACAATTCAATATATATATACGTATATATATATATATATATATATATATATATATATATATACCATATATATATATATGGTATGCCTCATCTTCAGTGCAATTTCAAAAACAGTTACTTATATACTACACATTCTTTAATATTTTATTTAAATTGAGAACCAACACAAATATTTTACACAACTCTTATATAAACATTGTTAAAAATTTATAATTTTTTTTTTCATTTATCTTATTCTGTTCAATAAATTAATCTGTTTTTACATTTATTGATTTTAGTATGCGATCGCGCACTCCATTTGTTTACATTATTATAATACCCATCCTGTTCTCCAATTCGATACTTAGTTTTCTGTACTGAGATTAAAAGATTAGTTTAGAATATTTCTGTAAGTGTCACATGTTTTTCAGTACTAAGTCAAGCATTGCAAAGATTAGTTGGTGTTTTTTGTATATCAAAATTTAAATGTAATTTAAATAAAATATTAAAGAATGTGCAGTATATAAGTAACTGTTTTTGAAATTACACTGAAGATGAGGCATACCATGGTCTCGAAACGTCTGTAATTATTAAATAAAGTGTGTGTTAAAAATCTGAGTGTTGTGTTGTTCATATTTAACATTTAATATATTTATTAAAGTGTACTGAATAGTTTTGAATTTGTTGTTGATATATATAGTTGTTATAAATAGTATGAGAGTTTTTTTTAAAGTTTATTTAAAATCCATACGTTTCGGCTAGCATCTTAGCCTTCATTCTATAACTATAAAAAATAAAACTAAATAAATATGTATGTAGGAAATTTCATAGAAAAATAATAATAAAGATAAAAAAAACACAATTAGTATCCTAATATAACAGATAAAAACATTGTTTTTGTTTTATCATTATTGTTGTTTTTCTGTGAAATTTCTTACATATTATTTATTTAATTTTAATTTTTATTTAGGGATCAAAATAAGATACTTTGCTGAAGATACCATACATCTAAAATGAATTCTGATGTCTCGTGCATTGATCCAAAAATAAGGGTTAAATTTTGAAAAACCTTTCGGGGGTTGAACCAGGGGCATGAGTGTATTGGCTTTCCAAAGTCATGAAATTTTTCAGATTTCATCCCTTATTTTTGGGTCAATGCACGGAACATCAGAATCCATTTTAGAGGTGTGGTTTCTTCAGCAAAGTATCTTATTTTGATTTCTAGTATCCGAAAATTATATGTGCCTAAGCGAATTTTTTTTACCCATACAAATTACCCGCTATATATCAATTTATAAAAGACGTCCATTCTGACCACCAGTTGGAGAGAAAATGATCACGATAGGTATTAAAACAAAATCAAAGATTAAGAACAATTAAAAAAATATATATTGAGTTTATTCGCAATAAATACAAATTCTGGACTTACTGGACAAATTGTAGGCCTTTCAAATTCACTCTACCACCAGCAAACAACATCAGGTCTTTTGATTTCAGTACAACATATAAATATAATCGCTCAAGAACCATTTGTGAACAGCTTAGGGCGTTTGACTCACATCTAAAACAAAAAACATGAAATAAATAAAACAACCATATAGAATTAGATTAAAAAAATACTTTGAATTGTAGAATTCCTAATTAACCATTTAACTAACACTGACATTTTCTAAAAATGTCTTGAAGTATTAATATTTTTGATTTTCTAGAAATTGTTTAGAATATATCCTACTTAGCAAAACAACATTTGCCGGGTCAGCTAGTATATATATACATATATATATATATATATATATATAAAGCTAAAAGAACTGCCCATGCAATATAAATTTCTCAAAAATCCAAATATATATATATATATATATATATATATATATAAATATATATATATATATATAATATATATATATATATATATAATATATATATATATATATGTGTG